GCCAAAAGCAATGACTGAATTTTCATCTTGTTTTGCTGACTGTTTAGAATATGTCAAAAATGTTCCACTGGGAGACCCGTGGCCACCTCCGGGGGTGGGGAGTGGGGCCAGGCCCCCCCAGGACTAAGCCTCTGGGGCTCCCGGCGAGCTGGGGGAGGATGGGGGCCAGTGAGGGCGCTTGTCACAGGTGTCACTTGTTGGTGCCTCGGGAGCACCAGTCCGTGTGCAGTCGCCAAGAATCGCCCCCGCTCCCGTAACCCGGGGGGCTGTTCTCTTCCGAGGCTCAGAGCTGCTCTGCGACGTCTCCCCTCCGGGGGGCGGCTGAGGGGTTCTGCGCCCAGGCTCTCCTCCCTGTTGGCGGGCGGGCGGACGCCTTTCCAGCCCTTCTGTGGCGGGCAGGGCCGGAGGCTGGGCAGGTGGGTGGGTGGCAAGCGGAACCGGCAGGATCTGCCCCCAGGGGTCTTCCCCTCACCTCTGGGGGGCCTGCTCAGGGCCACTGGACGACAGACCAGGTTTGGCACTTCCTTTGAAGTGTCCGCATCAAGAGGCCCTGGGGTTTGCACCCTGGCCCTGCGACTGCAGCATCCCTGCTGGGAACCGCCACACTGTCCTGGGGAGCTCGCTGGAGTCTGCCTGGGGGGCTGAGTCCAGGGCCCAGGCCCCGTCCACCACCTCCCCAGACCTCGGGAATGTCCACTGGCCACAGGCAGAGAGCGGCGGGTGGCGGTCAGGGCTGCAGCCCTAGGAGCCCGGTGGCCCTGGCCCGGGGGCTCCCAGTCCTGTTCTGGGAAGAGACAGGGTAAGGGCGGGTCACTGCCTGGAGGGCAGGGGAGATTCAGACCCTGACCTCTCTGCCAGCCTCAAGGCCCACCACAGGGAAGTTTCTAGAAGGGAGTGTGGGGAGTCTCCAGGGAGGGGAATTTGGGCTGGGGGTTGAGCGTGTGAAGGCGTGAGTACCCCAGCATCTCGGGACCTTGGTTACCTGCACGTCTTGGACAGCACCCCCTTGGAAGGGTCAGGGGTTCCGTTCTGTGAGGAGCTGACATCCGACACTGTTTTCTCTCCAGCTGTCCCAGAAGAATGCGTGCTGCCTCACCAGCCTTGTGTTCTGTCCCCATGGCTAATCCCAGGAGGAAGGCCAGGAGGCCGGGAGCCCCTACCCACACCACATACATAGGTGTTCGGACACGTGTGTGCACATAGACATGTGCACATGCACCCTGGTGTGTCCTGTAGTGCACGTGCACACATGCTGTGCACACGTGTATGTGTGTCAGTGCGTGCACGGGCACACGCATGTATGTGCACACACAGGCTTTAACAAAGTGACCCCATCCCCTGTGGGACGGGCTGGCTTGGTCCCCACGAGCTTTGTCACAGCATCCACACGGCCCTCAGATGCGTCTCGGGTGTGTGAGGCGCCAGCAGTGGGATTAGGGCCCGCCCCAAGGGAGCTCTGGGTCCAGGAGGGGAGACGGCTCCAGACCCAGCCTGGCACACCTCCTGGCGCGGATGGAGTGCCCTCAGCATGCGTGAGGCCCGCTGGGGTGGGGGTTATGGGGACGGGAGAGGCGGTTCCAGGGTGGGGAGTGGCTTGGTCCTGGGTGGGTGGGGCTGCAGCCAGCAGGTGTGTCTGGAGCCTGGGGCTAAGTGGGCTGTGAGAGGGGGCAGTCAGGCTGTGGTAGAGGGCAGCCTCAGACACTCCGGGCTGGCCTGAGTGTGGGCCCGGGACCCACGTAGATGACATGTGTGGGTCTTAAGCCCCTGTGTCTCCACCACCTGGGCCTGGCTTTCAGCTGGTCTGTCGCCCACGCATGGCTGCCTGGCCTTTCTAAGACTCAGCTCACCGGGGCCCGTGGTCACCGTCTCTGGGGTCCCGTGGGAGTGGAGGCACATAGGAACACACGATCTGGGGAGAAGAAATGTGCTCGCTGCGTGAACACATGTGTAGCCCCGCCCCTCCTGGACGGAGGTCTGTTGCCCCGCTCCCCACGGCCGGAGGCGTCGCTGTGCCCAGGTTTGGTCCCCGGTGGGCCTCCTGTGCCCCGTGGTCCCTCGCTGCCTGTTGACGTGATGCTCTTCAGGGTCGAGAGCAAATACCTCCGTCTGAGGACGCCGCCCTGGCTTTCTGTATCCTGAGTCCACAGGCCCCCTTGGCCCGGACACTGCCAGGGCAGGAATCTTGTGACACTGGTCCTGTCTGTTGGCCGGGCCTTGCGGAGTGAGAAGCGTGTGCATGTGCGTGCAGCCCCGGGCCCGATGGCCGGGACCTGAGCCTGAGCCCCCGCGCCTGCCAGTGCGGGTGAGGCTGGAGCACGCTGAGGCCCACCTGCCTGCTGTCGGCGTCCACGGCGCTCAGAGCTGCCCTCTGAGGACCCCGAGACAGGCGGGGCGCCCTCGCCTGCTGGTTTTCCCTCTTCCATAGACTCCTATTTGTCAGGATCAAGGCTGAGTGCCCACGGGCCCCTCTGCCACTGCTGGGAAACGGGCCCCTCCCCAAGACAGTCCCTCCAGCCTCGGCTCATCTCCACCTTTCCC